CTTAACAGACTGGGTTCTATAGCCTTGGGTGGCAATTGGTCTAGGATAAGGGAAATTCTAAATTCAAAACTGTATGTAGCCCTGGTGAAGCACATACTATCCAGGTAAGGAAAGAATTGTTCATATTAACTCAATGATCCTGATTATGGTTGACTTCTTAACAGACTGGGTTCTATAGCCTTGGGTGGCAATTGGTCTAGGATAAGGGAAATTCTAAATTCAAAACTGTATGTAGCCCTGGTGAAGCACATACTATCCAGGTAAGGAAAGGATTGTTCGTATTAACTCGATGCTCCTGATTATGGTTGACTCCTTAACAGACTGGGTTCTATAGCCTTGGGTGGCAATTGGTCTAGGATAAGGGAAATTCTAAATTCAAAACTGTATGTAGCCCTGGTGAAGCACATACTATCCAGGTAAGGAAAAATTGTTCATATTAACTCAATGATCCTGACTATGGTTGACTTCTTAACAGACTGGGTTCTATAGCCTTGGGTCAATTGGTCTAGGATAAGGAAATTCTAAATTCAAAACTGTATGTAGCCCTGGTGAAGCACATACTATCCAGGTAAGGAAAGGATTGTTCGTATTAACTCGATATGACTATGGTTGACTCCTTAACAGACTGGGTTCTATAGCCTTGAAATTGGTCTAGGATAAGGGAAATTCTAAATTCAAAACTGTATGTAGCCCTGGTGAAGCACATACTATCCAGGTAAGGAAAGGATCTTCAGCATTAACTTGATGATCCTAACTATGGTTGACTACTTATGAAATAGGTATTAGAACATATTCTAAGGCCAACATTAGCTACTTTAATAGATTGGCTTATGATTCTATCATTAAAATGGTCTTATTTTAATAGCAAACACTTAAAAGAAAACATTCATTTTGTTGAAAAATTCACTTCTTCAAAAACATTTCTTCAGGGTTTGCTCTTGAGTAAGGAGCTCTGAAGTTTCAGCTTCATGAGTTTCATTGTAGATCTGCCATTGCTTCAATCCACCAAAGTAACAACGTTCAAATAAAATCAGTTCCGAACAAGAATAAATAAATCCAGAATTTTCTGTGCCTGTTGCAAACTGAATGACAGCAGAAATCTATCAAGCGCTAAAATAAATATTATTGCCTTGAATTTTGTCACACCCAGGGTGGCTGTTATCATCAAGAACTCAAAATGAGGTCAGGCAGCTTTAGGTGCATGGGTAAAGTGCTGCTTTGCCAAATTCTCTTGAGGATTGTAGGAAAAGACTTGGTATTTATTTCACAGACATTTTTGTCTGTCATGACACTCCCATTCATTGCAAGAATTTTGGCCAACTGCCAAAGAATTACAACTTAGTAAAAAAGAAAATAATTTAGTTATAGTGTTACAAACTATTTTTTTCCTTTTGTTTTTAATAATTATCACTTAATACAAGACTCGAGAGTTGCTCAAGGAGATCATTACCATTGAGATGATAATGAGGAGTGGGGTGTATGAAATAATTGAAGAATAGGTGGTAGGAGGTGGAAATTATGAGAATAAAAAGAACAGATAATGACTGACCCTTAACTTGAAGATTAAAGAATTCAGGGAAGCACCCATGTAGGAGTTTGTTTCTCAGTTCTTGAGAAAAAGCTGTTGGAGTGGAACTTCTTAAATGTGGAACATAGGGGTGGGGAAATGAGGGTGATTCAACTCTGTGGAAGTAGCATGGTATGTCCTGGCAGTAAAAGTTTGAACTGGAGGAACTAAAGAATGGAACTCTCATCTGAACATTTACCATGGAAATAGTGATAGAGCAATGTTGCATCTTTGAAAAAGAGGTTGAAGAATAGAGAATTTCCATTTTTTTTTTTTTTTTTTTTTTTTTTTTTTATTGGTTAGGAATAAATCCCTGGATGCATATGGTCATTTTCTAATCGTAGCATAAGGGAGCACATAACCATGGTGTAATGGTTAACAAGACTGTCTCACTGGATCAATTACAACTGTGTAATGAATTTGATCATCAATGGGTTTCCCAAGATTCCAACCTTGTGCAACAAGTAAGCAACGTTTACTAAATTGCTATGAGCAATTGATGTGGTGTAATGGTTAACAATCTTGTCTTACGACTGAATAGTGAGTTTGATTCTCACTAGGTGCCCCATACTTTCCTCCTTGTGCCACATCTAGGCTATACTTAGAAAATCACCAATCGATGTGGTGTAATTTCAATTTTTCACTTTCATTCCCCTTCTGATCGCCATAACATAGATTTTTTTTCTCACCAGAATCATTCTTACATATTTATAAGTCTGCTATTCGTCTATGCTTTGAATATTGCTGCCACAACTGGTCTGGTGCTCCTGCTATATATTTAGGGATTCTTGTTAAAATCTAAAGAATAATCTGCAATGTTATTGGTCCTGACCTGGCATCTTGGCTTCAGTCACTTCCCTATCGTTTGTAGCGTAGCTTCCCTGTGACTTTTCTATAAATATTTTCATGGTAATTGTTCTGACGAACTTTCCTCTACGGTACCCAGACTTTATGAATTTAAACGCTGTACTAGATTGGCAGAATGATCTCATCATTTTACATTTGAAATAATTAGATGTGACAGTAAGTTCTACACTAACAGTTTCTTCTCTTGAACTTCTTGCTTGTGGAACTTTCTTCCAGCCTCTTGCTTCCAAGTCAAGTTTGATCTTCAAAAATTTAAATGTAATGTCAATCATTATCTTTTGTCTTAATTCTTGCTCTTTTATTGTTCTGCCTCTTTAATAGTATTTTTCCTTTTCTTCATACTCTTTAACACTCAATAACTCTTTCTGTCTTAGTGGCTTTATTGCCTTGCTTGGGGTGAAATGATTAAAAAACAAAAAGACTTATGTCCCACTTTGTAGTGTGATTTGAATTGAGAAAAGAAAACTCTAAATTCAAAAACAGCTTGAGGAGGGACGGGCTTCGTCAGGTTATCTTTCCCGAGACATACCTACTTTGCTACGGCTACAAAAGATGTATTGCTCCAATGACTGTAATGGGATCATGTGATGTGATCTGAGGGTAACTTTAGAAATATCTTGAAAGTTTACTGCAACTCTTTTTTTTTTTGCTGTTAATTGTAATTCATTGTTTACAAGACTGCGACAAAAATTTAGGAAAATGGCTTTCACATGAACTTCCTGAAATAAGTGTTAATCAACATTTGTCTCACTTTTAATATCCAGATGTAACCTCTGCGAAACTCTGAGTGGGAAGATAAGTGTTTGAACTTTTTTATTTATTTATTCACTATTAATACTCTATTTCTTAATATCGAGCTCTTTATTTACAAAATCTGCTCGCCTTAAATGTATTATCCCCCAGTAGTTTTTGTCTCATTGAAACAGTCATTAAACATTTTTATCTTGTTCTTTTATTTTCTGACTGAAATCAAGTATATATCTTTTCCGTCTTTCTACATGATCAAAGTGAAATAGTCTCTTATTTATGAGGTATTGGCAGGACGTAATGGTCGTGCTAAGTAACTAACTAAGGGCAGGATGAACAGAATTATAATATAATTGTTCATCAGTAGTTTTTGTTTGGTATAAACAATATTTGTTATTAACCTCTAACGTCTTGTCTCTGGGATAGTTACGTATTTCCTGCCAGCACTTCAAGACTGAGAGGCACGCTTCACTTAAATTGGTGCAACACAATCTTCCTAACTTTGTTTCTCTTTGTCCTTGTGTTATTCTAAATCAAGGTTAGTGATATTTTTTTGGAGGGGTTGAAATGCTTATTTATTAATAACTCTGTATAATCATATATTAATCAAAATTAAAGATAAAAATTGTTTTACATGTCAGTCAGTGTTTGTGCAAATGGCCGTAAGTGAAGACTTTTTCTCTGTCAAATGACTTTTGTTGTTTTTCTTGGGGATTTTGACTGGTGTTAATTTTGATCTTGTTTTATTAATGTTAAAATTTTTATTTTTGATAACACACTGCAGTTAAAAAAATAAAAATTAACAAGTCTGGCACAGAATTTTATATTCTTTCTGTAGCTTGAAAGATCAATACTCCTCTTAGCTTTTAAAAGTCAAGTCTGACACAAGGATAAATTTGTTGGGTGCTGTGAAAGATCACAAACTGTAAACCATAATACTGAAAATTATTTTGATGTTTGTTACATTTTGTTAATTTCCACTACTAAGGTGCACCTAGGGAGAACTGAATTCACTATTAATGGCTTGTAATATCTGCATTATTTCCTTTGTATATAGATTCTTATTAGTATAAATATTATTTTTAGTGGGTACACGTGTTTGAGTTGATATCCCTCCTTTTTTATTTTCCTAACTTTGTTTCTCTTTATTTGTCCTTGTGTTAACTAATGTAAGGTATCTTGGGGGTGGGGGTTGAAATGTTGTTTTTCATGGATTTCACATGAACATCATGTAATGAGCGTTTATCAGCATTTGTCTCCCTTTTGACAAATAGTTGAATTAGTCTTTACTATATTTTGTTGTGAATTCTCAAGAACAAAAAAAATGTATAAATTCACTTTCATATGTTTAGGTTTTTTATTTAACAATTGCTTTTAAAAACCATTTTTTTTTAAAAAACAAATTTTCTAAAACTTTGTCTTTGATACTTTTTTTGTGAGCACAAACATCCATGTTTGCCAAATATTTTATTCGTATTTTAGTTACTTTTATTCATTTATTATTTTAACTAAAACCAGTGATGATCACTATCCCGTGATTTCTCCGACAAAATCCAGCTGTATATTTTTGACCAGATTTTGATTAGCAACAAAAGTAAATCAGTTGGGCTTTTTTATTAGTTTTTGTCTTAGAGAACAAAGTCTGTTAAACAAGAGCTGTGTCATGATGAGGTAAATAAAAAGTTATTTCTCTTAGCAAGTAATAATTTGTATCCCATGACTTCAAAAGAAATGTATCTGTTGTCGAACATGAGAACTGACTCTTACAGGTGTGTACAGCTTATTGTCTTGCGTGAGTGAATTGTGTCAGATATTGTCATCAGAATTCCAGGCGTTGGAGGGCCTGAAGAATGAGAAAGAATTTACAGGCACCTCGTGATTTCAGCAAGAAGAAGAAGAAAAAGAAGGAATAGAGGAGACGAGGAGGAAGAAGAAATAAATGAAAAGAAAAAGGAAATATGACAAAGAAGAAAGAAAAAGGTGAATAAGAAGTAAAAGATAAAAGAGGCAAAGGAGTAAACAGGTGAAGAAGAAAAAATGGGAAATTGATGAAGAAGAAGAAATAAGTAAAAAAAAATAAAAGGTTTAAACAGATTATGTGGAGAGAAGAAAAAATAACTGAAAAGAGGAAGAAGGAGGTAGAAAAAGAGGCAAAGAAAATTGGTAAATAGAAAGAAAGAAGAAAATTGAAGTTAACAAAGAAAAAGGAGAAAATAGAAATTGAAGAAGAAAAAGAAAATATAAATTGTAGAAGATAAAAGAAAATAGAAATTGATGAAGAAAAAAAGGGAAATGGAAACTGAAGAAGAAAAAAAGAAGGAAATGGAAACTGAAGAAGAAAAAAAGAAGGAAATGGAAATTGAAGAAGAAAAAAGAAGGAAATGGAAATTGAAGAAAAAAGAAGAAAATGGAAATTGAAGAAAAAAGGAAATGCAAACTGATAAAGAAAAAAAGAAGGAAATGGAAATTGTAGAAAAAAGAAGAAAATGGAAATTAAAGAAGAAAAAAAGAAGGAAATGGAAATTGAAGAAAAAAAGAAGTGGAAATTAGAGGAAATAGATGATGTTAAAGAAGAAAGAAATAGAAGAAAAAGAATTTGATGATAAAAAAATGAAGAGAGACAAAACAAATAAGGATGATGATTTCTGCTGTTGTAAATGACGGGCAATTTTATGATGATCTACCGAACACAGCTATAAAAGTGGATTTGTGGCAAAGTCCGTTTAGAAGAGAACAATAATTTGGAAACAGATGCATGGGTGGCAGCGTGTGAAGCAAGCAGCAGCAACAACAAAAAAAGAACCCAGAGCCAGATTCCCCCTCCCACATCAAAATACATTACAACAACAAAGTCAAGCCTAACATAATGAAAACAAAGCTGACTTTATTCTCCTTAGAAATCAAGTGTTTCTTTTGATGCTTGAATTTTTGGTGAGTTGAACACTGTAGCCATTCTGACAGCCTTTCATCCAATCTTATCAGCAACGCCAGTGCCTATTATTGACCGTTACTGAAATAGCTACAAAATACGGTCACTATTATACTTTTGCATACCTACACAACCCCCAACAGTTGCATACTTCTATAATGACTCCCGAGCAAGTAGGTCGGCCTGGATGCACTGTGGAAAGCTACAAATCATTGCAAAAAGAAAAAAAAAATAATGATTATTTTGCAGAGTGTGTGGAATCTAAAATATGTTACAGATTTGAATCGACCCACAACAAAGGAAAAGGAGAGAGGTTTTTAAATATAGAATATTTTTATTTTCATATTTAAATGTTAAAGTTCCTTGATTGTGGTTTTTGTTAAGATGAAATTTAATTTCTTTGCGTGTATGTGTGAAAAAGAGAGGCAATGGAGAAAGTGAGGAGGAAGAGTGTAAGGAGGAAGTAGCTTGTGTGAGGAATAGTGTAAGTGTCACGTAGCTTAGTGAGGAAGACGGGTGAATGAGTTAAGGGAATCTCTTTGAAGCCACAACTTGAAATGATGTCACAGTATCCATCTCTATCTCCTTACTTTCTTACTGACTTGTCTGGTTTGGTAACTTTGCTTGTACGCTCTTCATTGGGATCATGAACCATGTTTTTTATTGTTGGTGGGGACACAACCCATTGGTTGAAAAATGTTAAATACTTATTTTCAAAAGATTAATTTATTAACAGAAAAGATGCACAGATAATATAATCTCTATCAATAAAAGGCAGGATGTGTGTGTGTGTGTGTGTGTGTGTAATGAATGCACAGCCGCAATTTTTGATGGATTTGCACCAAAATTTACATGCACATGCTCCAAGTTAGCAGGAAGGCCAAGACAGACTTTGCATTTCCCAACTCCCATTGATAGTGGAAATAATAATAATTTTTTCATGCTTCTACGGCAGTTTTCATGTAGTTTGCGGCCATTTTTCTGTGGCCAGAGTGAGAGCCTATAGCTGGCTGCCACGAATAGGCAGGAAGATTCTATTGGCCAGCATGAGAGCCAACAGCTGACTGACATGAATGTTAACTAGCATGCTAGCATGCAAAAAAAAATCGATAGCTGCATTCGTCACAAGTGAGAAAAATTTAAATCTGCATGGCACTTTACTCCAATTGGCTCATTCGCTTGCTTAAACTCAATGTTGATTCTGATTCCGCAGAACTGGGTTGGGTGTGAAAAAGTATTTGTTGTTAACCTTTTTTCATCATTCGGTTTTTCCAGCTACGAGTCCTTTTTTAAAGCTGATCGTTTTGTGTTCATTTTGTTTAGTTCTTTTTTTGTATCAGATTTAATGTTTAGTATAGAGCTTAGAAAAAACTCGCAGTGTGAGATAGGCAAGAAGTAAGGCATGTAGCAACATCAGCACGGCAAAGGACACTCCTTTAAAGGCAAGGAAGGGCAAAAATATTTTAAGTCAAGTGATAGCGATTGCTGTATGAGTCGTACGATTTTTGAATCAAGCACGGGTAATGCCGGGCCATGCTGCTAGTAATAATATAATATCGGTAGACTCTCAAATCGATCCCTGACTTTTACAGAGTTATTACCATTTAGATAAGTCTTTTAGATCTAATTTACAAATGTTAAGTTTGAAATTGTGCTAGCATCATTAATATCTGTATATTTTTTTGAATTTTTCTGACATTTAAAGGTTTTGTTGTTTTTTTTCTTAAACTATTTTTTGTGCAGAATTTTTTGGGAAGTGCATATGTAAACATTTAAGTTTCATAGTTATTTATCTTAAAGTAAGAATAAATAGATACACAGTTATTTTTGTATATGTAAATTTTTATTCTTTACCTAAAAATCATTTTAAAAAAAATGTATGTATCTATTTGTTGATTATTTAAGAAAAAAAACTTTTGATGATCCCACTTCAGCAAAAAAATTGTTTTCATATGCAAAACAGCTAACTCTGTAAAAGTCAGGGATTGATTTGAGACTGTATTGTTATTGTAAACAGAACTCCCATTTCTAAATATATAAGAGAGTGATATTTTTTCAATTTTAACCAGTGTCTAAAGAATGTTGGTCTACAAAAATATTAACTCCCAAACTTTTTCTTATTTTTTAATAATGGACCACTATATTTAAGTAGTGCCAACATTTAGAAACTAATTTTTTTTTTTTTTTTTTTTTTTTTTTTACAATGAGGGCCACCTTCTACAAGGACCAAGAGCCACCTTTACACCTTTAGACTCTACTGAGTCTAAAGAAGGTGTAAAGAACATTACAAAATTATCCCCCCACCTCTGACAAATTTTCACTATTTTTTTTTTTTTATGGGTGGACCAGTGTATTTAAGTAGTGCCTAGATGTACAATTTCAATGTCATAATGCAAATTTTAATGCACAGGAAGTAAATTGTATTTTGCAGACATTGGCACCAAAATTTTCTACAAATATTTTTACAAATCCTTGATAAAAATCTAAAAAAGAATCTGAAATGTTATTGGTCCTGATCTGGCATCTCAGCTTCAATCACTTTCCCATCACCTTAATGTAGCTTTCCTGTACCTTTTCTATAAATACTTTTATGGTAAGTGTTCTGTTAAGTTTTCCTTTATGGTACCTAGATTTTATGAATTTAAGCACCCTACTAGATTGGTTGCAAGGTCTCATCATTTTACGGTTGAAATGGCTCGATGTAACTGTAGCAGTCTCTTCTAATGTGCTTCTTGTTTATAGAACTCTCTTACGGGTTCTTGCTTCTCAGTTAACTTTGAATTTCAATGTCAATCGTTATCTTGTTTTAATTCCTATTCTTTTATTATTCTCTCTCCTTAATATTATTTTTTCTCATATTCTCTGACACTTAGTAACCCCTTGCGTCTTAGTGGCTTTATTGCCTTGCTTGGCATGAAATGATTAAAAAAAAAAGTATTATATATTATTCTAAACATTTGTAACCAGAATATAATACAAAACGAGCACATTTGATTGTCCCTTAAATGACAAAGGAAAAAATCTATCAATCATCTCTAAAACTCTTGGGATAAATACATTGTGTGTGTTTCTTTATTAACCAGCTGTTGGTGTTAAGTCTTTATATTCTGTTGTTCTGTGCTTCAAAAATAGACATGGCATAGAATTTATTAAAATAAATTTGCCACTTACTGTAAGAATAGACAAAGAATTGCTAACATGAATGAGAACTTAGTTATTGAGGCTGTGAAAGCAGGAACATATTAGAGGATAGTAATCGTTATTGAAAGAAGCAAGTGTCAAGTTATTGATTTTGCTGTTCTGTATGATGCTAGATTGGACTGTACAGAAATTGAAATGATGGAAAAATCTGAGGATCCATTAAAGGACTTGAAGAAAATATGGAATATGGCTGTTGTAGTAATGAGTGCACTTGGAAAGCTGCCTTGAAACTTGAAAGAGCACTGGAATTGAGATGAAGATTGTAGAGCTCCAGGAAACTGCCATCATTTTTACTCTGCAAGGATTCTCCAAAAAGTTCTGGAGTTTGGGAAGAGTCTTTTTGACACCTGCCTCAAGATGAGAATTTCCATTGACAACATCAATGTGCGACACCAACATAATAATACATAAATAAAATTATGAAAAAAATCCAAAAGTGCAGATAGATATGAATAGATAGAGAGAGATAGATGAATAGATAGAGAGAGATAGATGAATAGATAGATAGAGAGAGATGAATAGATAGATAGAGAGAGATAGATGAATAGATAGATAAATAGATAGAGATAGATAGATAAATAGATAGAGATAGATATGAGTAGATAGATAGAGATAGATATGAGTAGATAGAGATAGATATGAGTAGATAGATAGAAATAGAGATAGATATGAATAGATAGATAGAGAGAGATAGATATGACTAGACAGCGATGGATAGATAGATATGAATAGATAGCTAGATATGGGTGGAGATAGATATGAGTAGATATGAATTGATATAGATAGATATGAACAGAGTGTCAGATAGACTAATAGATAGGTAGGACTTATGGAAATGGATAGTGATAGGAAACCGGTTTTTCCTAGATTTATTTTAGGTTTAATGTTATGAGGTTATTTATTGTCCTCACCTTAAGTTTTTATTTTATTTATTTATTATTTGTTTTGATTTTGGAATTTTTTTTTTTTGTTCAAAACTTCTCAGCAACCTGTCTGTCTGTCTGTCTATGTGCTATATAATTTAATAACTTATGAATTTATGAATATATACAGAAAATATAGAACAAAAAGTCATCAAACTTATAATGATTATTCAGAAAGGAATATATATATATATATATATATATATATATATATACACCCAAATGAGGGAAAGAGCAGATGGAGTAAAAATCCCTTGTTTGTAGCATTTACTTTAAAAAAAAAATTAAGTAGGGCAATATATTATTATATTTTTATTATAAGTGATTATAATAAAAACATTTTGAAATTGCTAGACAAAAGCTTTCATGTTTCAATACTATGATTGTACTTCTTCGGGCGATGGTAAGTAACTGGTAATTAAATGATTTTTAAGGAAATTTAAAAACAAAGTTTTACCTCTTTTCCGAAAGTTAAAAGTGGGTGGACATAAGGTCAAAATGAAAAATAGACTTGTGGGTGTGTCTTGGTTAACCAATTAAATGTCAGATCTACGCTGAATAGAAAAGTAAGGTGCGGGGGATAGTTGAGTTATTGTTACATGTCACGATAAACCAGGAGATAGACAGGCCATCATTGACGATTGCGGAAAATATGCCAGTGACAAATGTATCGTCATTGTTAGACAGATATGACTTGTTCATTTTGTTGAAGGTAGGGGTGGGTTAATCAGATGTAAAGTTAACAGAAAAAATTTTTTTTTGTCGCTGGCATATTTTCCGCAATCATCAATGATGGTCTGCCTATGTCCTGGTTTATCATGACATGAAAAAAAATACCCCCCTCCACACTCTGAGCTTACTTTTCTATTTAGCATAGATCTGACATTTAATTGGTTAATCAAGACATACCCCCAAGTCTATTTTTAATTCTAACTTTATGCCTCCCCTTTAACTTTTGGAAAAGAGGTAAAACTTTGTTTTTAAATTTCCTTAAAAATCATTTAATAATCAGTTACTTACCATAGCCTGAAAAAGTACAATCATAGTATTGAAACATATTTTTGTGTATATTTCAAAATGTTTTATATATATATATATATATATATATATATATATATATATATATATATATATATTCTCCAAGGTTCTATCCTTGAACCAATCTTGTTCCTAATTTTATCAATTAACTTCCTGATGTCCTCAGTTCTCAACTCCGTATCTATGCTGATGACACAACCAATTATTCCTGTCTCAATAGCCTGAGCTGTTCACTAAGGTCCAATTAGCAGCTGATCTAAAACATGACTTGCATTCTGTTGTTAATTAGGGAAACAAATGGCTTGTTAATTTTAATGCCTCCAAAATAAAACTGCTCTCTTTTCATCGTCTAAGGAACCCCTTTTTTTCCTTCTATCAGTATGGCAGATGCTAACCACCAGGAGAATGACTCTACCTTTTTGGACTCACATTTTCCACTGATATGAAGTGGAAAGATTATATTGAATCAAATGCTGGGTCTACAGCTATGGCAGTTGGTTCACAGTGTCATAGTACACAATTTATCACACCAAAATCTATCTTCAATCAGTTATGTGCCATGCGTGATACATGCTTAGGCAATCATGTATCTTTTGATACATGACTGTCAAGGCAGATTTTTTTCGCGCAGTAGATTGTCATTTCTTTCTGCGGTAGACCAGGTGCCATCCAAGGCTATAGAAGCTGGTCTGTCCTGCTATTTACCCATAGCTGGGGGGAGAAAAAGAGGAGTCATATCTTTCCCAAGGGTATTAGCACGTAAATGAATGTAATGGATTTGACTGGAATTCGAACTCAGCTCTCTGATTCCTCAAACCGAGCTGCTATCCATTACTCCACCATGCCTCCTCTTTGTTTACCATTCGTCCTTACTTTGAATATTGCGGACACATCTGATCTTGTGGTTCTGCTATATATTTAGAGATTCTTGATAAGATTCAAAAAAGAATTTGCAATATTATTGGTCCTGACTTGGCATTACTTTCAAACTGCCGTAGTGTAGATAACCTGTGCCTTTTCCATAAATACTTTTATATATAGTCCCTAGACTTTTTGAATCTATGTGCAGTACTAGATTGGCAGCTAGGTCTCATCATTTTACAGTTGAAATGGCTGCTAGATGTGACTGCAAGTTCTATGCTAACAGTTTCTTCTATCGCACTTGTGGAACTCTCTTCTGGCTTTTTGCTTCCCAGTCAAATTTGATCTTGAAAAATTTAAGCACAATATCACTTGTTATTGTTAATTATTGTATAACCAGTTATCCCCCCTCCTCAACTTAATGGACTGTTCCTATCATCACTGGCAGCAGCAGGAGCATAGACTTGTGTCCCCCTCCTTGCCAGGTGGATTGGGCCGTTAGATAATATTTACCCTGCTGTGATTTCTCTCTTGGCATTTTAACTTTGACTTGCGTAGAAGAACTAGTAATATTTGAAACCAGACCTTGACTCTTATCAATGGAAGCAGAGTATTAAGTATGACTACTCACAAATATCCACCCACATTTGGTAACAATGACTATTCACAATGAAAATTGGAAGTTGAATTATGGCAAATGTTTATTAAAATGGATAAAACAAGACAAGGTATAGCACTGGCACTCTCCTTAGAAGGAAAAGCATGAGAAATTGCCACAGCTATCGATAAATCTCTCCTAACAACTGATGATGACATTAAAAATGTTCTAACAGAATTGGTTAAATTATTTGAAAAGGAAAAGACATATCAAATGTATGAAGCCTATATAAAATTTGAAAATTTTAAGAAGACTGAGGTAATGTCAATGCTAGACTCCATAGTAGAGATTGAACAGTTAAATAAGAAATGTACCAATTTAAAAATTGATACTAATGCATTATTGGCCCTGAAATTTCTATACAATGCAAATCTTAGTGAACAACAAAAACAGTTGGCTTTAACAGCATGCCCAAGTATGAAACCATGAAAAATGTTCTGACCAGGATATTTACTACTGCCAAAACAGAGGAACGGCTGACATTTTAATCCAGTCCTGGACTCTGATAAGTTATCTTCTGTCGTCTTAACTCCTATTCTTTTATTGTTCTCTCTCATTACTATTTATCACTCTGTATGTAACGTCAATTGCTGTACAAAAAGTTTATCCCGCCACTGAAGCTGACTCTGATCCCTGAACAACAGTGTGTTTGAATTGCATAGTTGTGTTGTCATATCCTGCCATGGCAACAGAAAACATCTTTGAGCGAAATTAACAATAAGGATATTGCAATTGAGAGGCCTTGAAAAAGAATACTGTGAAAAGAGAAGTCATATTAATAATGTGGATTAAAAAGGTTAATGGCATATTTAGGAGTTATTAAATACAAAATCGTTTTTCTCATACCTTTTCAATCATACCTCCTAGATACTCTTCATTTTTTTTCCTTCATGTTCCTTGTTATATTCCAATTTCTTTTGTTTAATTTTTACTTATTTTATATTAGTAATTTGTAATAAATCAATTAACATTTATCACTCTATATGTGACTTCATTTGCTGTACAAATAGTTTATCTTGCCACTGAAGGTGACTCTGATTCTTGAACAATAGTGTGTTTAAATTTCATAGTTGTGTTGTCATATCCTGCTATGGTAACAGAAAACATCTTTGAGTGAAATTAACAATAAGGATATTGCAACTGAGAGGCCTTGAAAAAGAATGCAGTGTAAAGGGAAGTCATATTAATAAGGCAGAGTGTTAAATGTTAATAGTATTTCTTCTTTATATTCTCTAACACTCAGTAACCCCTTTTGACTTTCATCCTGGGTATGACGATAAACTATATTTGCATCCTGGGTAAGACTATAAACTACGTCCAACAGCAAGGCCTCTGGTCAGGAGGTTTTGAGGAGCATGGAAGCGCCTCTTAATTGCTGGTGTTCCCAGGTCCACCTTTGGGGTCCCAGCTATGGGCAAATAGTTAACACTCTGACTACATCTGCATCCTGGGTATGATGATAAACTACATCTACATCCTGTGTAAGACGATAAACTACGTCCAACAGCAAGGCCTCTGATAATACATTTTTGAAAGAATAACGTTGCCAGCTGTATGTTTTTGAAAAAAAAATATTACCAGTTATACGTTTTTGAAAAAAAATAATATTACCAGCTATACATTTTTGAGGAAAAAAATATTAACAGAAATAGATTTTTGACAAAACAAAAATATTACCAGGAAGAAAAAAAAAGTTGTTGGGATTAAATGCGCCAGTGAGGTTTATATGCTGTAAACCAAACCAAAGCAAAACAAACCCTTTTGACTTCATGGTTTTATTGCCTTGTTTGGGGGTGGAATGATTTTTGAAATGTTCTTTATGAATAAACTTTTCTTTTGTCCCAACCACTCTTTTAACCTTAATGTTTTTGTTTTTTTGGGGTTTTTTTTTTTTTGTTTTGTTTTTTTCAGCAGAACAAACAAAATTTCTTCATCAGTTTGCAGAATAACTAATGACTACACCCTATAGTCCCTAATTTATCTTTTTTTTTTTATTATTCTCATGAAACAGCTGCGACCTTTGTATTTTATATTGATTTATTTATTTTTGCGGTTGTGGAGAAGTTTTTAGTGATTTTAATTTTTTCTTTTGATTGAATAGTTTGGGTGGCTCAGCATACCGTAAGTCTGTTTGTTCATTAGTGACTTCGATTCTCACTGGGTAGCCCATAAATGTGGCCTTGTACCAAACTAATCTGAATTTATTTAATAACGACAGAAAAAAGAGGTTAAATACTCTGACCAAATTTGGCACAGAAAATATTTTAACTTCTTTGTTTTCAGAATAATAATAAATGTGTTCTCTACAGGCATTCTGCCATAGTCTGGAAAACGAGCCAATCGCTAAATGTTCTGAGAAACAAATATGAAAAAAGGCTTCTTTTTTTCTTTTTTTTTTTTAATTTTTAACACAAGCTCCCATTAGTAAAAATATTTGAAATATTTAAACTCAAAATAAACTACAACTGAAAAAAAAATTAATTTCAAAATTTTTTCTTAATTTTTTCTTTTTTTACATGCTAATCTAGTGTGTTTAAATTTGAAAGTCTAGGTACTATATATGAAAGTTCCTCAGGACAATTACCATGAAAATATTTATAGAAAAGACACAGGGAAGCTACATTACAGTAGTGGGAAAGTGACTAAAGTAGGGATGCCAGGTCAGGACCAATAACATTGCAAATTCTTCTATGGATTTTAGCAAGAATCTCTAAATATATATAGCAGATGTGTCAGCAATATTCAAAGAATGAATGAATGCTAGATTTATAAATATGTCTTGGCTGTCATGGTGTATACATCTCTTAGCTTAGCTTTAAATCATAGAGAATTTAAAAGTTTGGCTGTTTGTCTTAGTGATTTATTAGTTGCAACAGCCTATTTGTCTGACTAGTGTTTAATTTTCAAACTTTTCATCACACCGAAATGGAACCATGACGATAAACTACATCTGCATCCTGAGTACGACAATAAACTACATCCGGCAGCAAGGCTTCTGATCAGAAGGTTTTGAGGAGCATGGAAGCACCTTTTAATTGCTGGTGTTTCCAGATCCACCCTGACCCAGGGTGGTAGCACCTGTTAGGGTCCCAGCTATGGGCAAATAATTAACCCCGTACTGGGGTCAAAACACTATGAAAGTGTAAAAATAGGTTTTAATACCAGAAATAATTTTTTGTAAAAAATTATTACCATCAATAAATTTTTGGAAAAAAAATATTACCAGCAATAGATTTTTGAAGAAAAAAATATTACCAGCAATAGATTTTTGAAGAAAAAAAATATTACCAACTATAGATTTTTGAAGAAAAAAAATATTACCAGCAATAGATTTTTGAAGAAAAAAAATATTACCAGCAATAAAAATTGTTGGTATTAAATAACCCATTGAGGTTGATATGCCATAAACCAAACCAAAATGAAATGGGATATTTGAGTGGAATTGAATACGATTTTCAATAAATTTTTAAATTAAAAATAAAGTCATGTATTAAAAAAGGATCCTTAATAAATTAGTTTTATTCAGTTTTAAAAATTTCATAGTTGGCATGTTCTTATAATCAGCAATGATAAGTTATCCAGCACCCAACAAAAATATTTGACATTTAAGCTATTTATCCTGGATAATCAATGTTTTTTTACAGGCTTTTCAAATGGAAAAAAAGAAAAAAAACATTGAGACAAAACTTGTGGTTGCAATATTGAAATCTGAAAATAAAAGCTTTAAAAATGAAATGTATACAGGAGAGACGCAAAAGGGATGTGTCCATGATTGGCCAAAAGTTAAAGCTTTTCTGCACAAACTCTGGCCATTATTCCATCCCTCTTGCCACTCCAGGTTTCAAAAAGAATAAAAGTATTGTTCTGATCAGCTCTAGGGATATTAAAAGTCTGTTAGGAAGGGAGGAAGGAATTAAGTCTTGGAAAATGGCAACAAATATAGATGTGAGAAAGAGAGACAAAAGATGGAATTAAAATAAATACCAGACAGATTGCGAAAGGATTCCAAGATGAAGACACAGGATATGTCATAATTGACTCACCTACTTGCTCAAGGAAGACCCTCTGAATTATCCTGACCATCATTGTGGCTTTAGGGTGGGCATGTTATTCTATGGATATCAAGATAGCATTTTTGCAAGGGAAGAAATTTGAAAGGATGGTCTTTCTAAAAGCTCTTCCAGAAGCTGAAATTCCTGAATGTTCTATAAAGACTGAATAATGCTTTGTAAAAACAATAGGCCTGAACAATGTGGAATCTTTATTGAAAGTGATATCTTTGCTTAATATTATTAGGAGGTAGGAGGTAATGTTTATAGTGAGTGTTAGTAAGAGGTAATGACTATACAACATGTCTGGTCTTTTGAAGAATTTTATTTTAATTTTATTTTTTTAAAATTATGCTGAAGACATTTTAAATTTATTATTATCACATTTTATATTTTGCTGGGACTTTTATATTCCTTCCTCATTTTGTGGTATTTTGTGATTTAGTTGGTATATTTTTTACTAAGTTTTCTTGTTTATTTTGTTAAATATGTTTTTGTCATCAAACTGTATTTTTGGTGGATTGTTTGTTAATTGTTCACTTGTTTTTAGATCTCTTCTGTTGCACTTTGTGTCTCTTCTTCGGTAGCTACTAAATATGAATGAGTTTCGTCTAGTTTTTTTATTTTTCATTTTCTTTTCCTGAAATTTTATGTGTACATTATCATCTGGATTTAGCATTTGTAGTTCTCTGTGTCTGTCCGTATTTTTGTTTGCTTGCGGACTGTATGTAGAGATTTACTATATTTAACATTAGGAAGATTTGTGCGTAAAGTCTTCTTCAATTGTTGTTCTGTTGGTGAAGATTACTTGTTCTTAAAACTAGAATAGCTAAGTAGGGGGCCTTGCTGACTTTCAAATGCTTTCTTAAGTGTCTTTTTGATGGTCTGTGTGTTCCTTTCTACTAAGCCATTTAACTGTAAAAAGTTTGGACTTGTGATGTGTTTGAAATCCCATTCTTTATTGAATTTTTTAAATATCTGCCAACTTGTATTCTGGACCGTTGTTACTGATGACAATTTGAGAAATGCTGAATCTGGCAAAAGTATTCTTCATCTTTTTGATTACTGTGGTTGACTCAGTTTTTTAGTTGATGTATATCGAAATATCTACTTGTATAGTCTATAATTACAACATATGATTTATTATAGAGATGAAAGATGTCCGTTGCTACTTTGGTCCATGGGATTATCACGATACCATGGTTAATCATTGGTTCGACTGCTTGCTGGTTCTGGGGGTCTATTCAGTATGTGCATGTGCTTACCATTTCCTTGATCTGGCAGTTTATAGTTGGCCAATATATCATCTCCTTTACTCATGCTATGCATTGTTCCATTCCTAAGTGTCTAGTGTGGATCTTCTATAACGCTTCGTTTCGTAAAGAGTGAGGAACTATTATTCTTGTATCTTTCAATACATTCTACATATGGGAAGAAGTTAAGATTTCATGGAGACCGAGATATTATGGTGGCTGTAATAAGAATGGTAAGTAAGAATTTGTTGTTTTGATGTAAGGAATATTGTGGTATGTTTGGGTGAGTAATCGTGGCTAAGTTTAGGATAAGACAAATTGAAGACCAGCCTTCCCCTATCACCCCTCTTGGCCTTGTGCCATATTTTTGGATTTTAATGAAAGACAAATATTGCTCTTCACTATGGTACCTAGACTTTATGAATTTAAGTGCAGTACTTGATTGGCGAGGCATGGTGGAGTAACGGATAGCAGCTCAGATTGAGGAATCGGAGAGCCAAGTTCAAATTCCAGTTGAATCCATTACATTCACTTATGTGCTAATACCCTTGGAAAGGTATGAATCCACTTCTTCTCCCCCCAGATATGGGTAAATAGCAGGACAGACCAGTTTCTATAGCCTTGGATGGTAACTGGTCTATCGCAGAAAGAAATAGTAACCTATTGCGGGAAAAAATCTGCCTCATCAGTCATGTATTGAAAGATACATGATCGCCAACATGTGTATCACGCATGGCACATAACTGACTGACTCAATTGGCAGCAAGATCTCATCATTTTACAGTTGAAATGGCTAGATGCAACCGTAAGTTCTATGCTAAGAGTTTATTTCTCTATCACTTTTTGCTTGTGGAACTCTCTTTTGGCTTCTTGCTTTCCAGTCAACTTTGATCTTCAAAAATTTAAATGTAGTGTCAGTTGTTATCTACTATTTTTTTAATTCTTTTTCTTCTATAGTAGTTTTTCTCATATAATCTAACACTAGGTAACTCCTTGCATCCTAGTGGCTTTATTGCCTTGCTTGAATGAATAGAAATGAATAGAAAAATAAATTATCTGATATTTTTAACAATTTCCAAATCAATGTTTTTCACCACAAAACATGCTCAAATTTTTTTAGCCAAATTATGCCCCCCCCGTTGATGTCAGACAAAAAGTTTTCTTAACCAAAATTTTGAAAGTTTTAAAAAGGATTAAAAAAAAAAGTAATTTTAACATAAAAAAAAAAATCCCTCAGTTTCACTGTTTAATAATAGCATAAACATTTTGATGATAAAAGTTTGTTTTTATTCAAGTTGGGGCATTTTTTCTTCATGTATACTCATTTTTTAGCGAATCTCTTTAATTAGAACAGTGTTTCTCAACCTTTTTAAACAACGGCACACCTAGGAACAAATGAAAATATCATGGCAGACTGAGCAAAATTTTAAAGGGTATACATTTAAATGTTATTAAATAAAACGATAGATTTTTAAAAAAAATAAACAAATAAGAACTTAGTTTATTTCAATGTTTCTATTCAACTATTTGTGCAGCTTAATTAGTGTGAAATCTGTGCCTGGTGTTTTATTACAATTTCTTTAATGTTTGGTCAAATGTGCAATAAGCAGACCCTTATTTCTTCTTCAATTGAGCACTTCTTATTTTTGATGTTATTTAGGATTGAGAAAATTGCAATAAAGCCTTTTTAGGTAGTGTAAGGTATTCTTTTTGTATTTAAATCCAAAATGTATCAATGGGTATCGTCAAATGTTTTGTTTTGAGCCATTGATCACTAGAAATGGTAGCCAATTCTTCTTCACATAATTCATACTTTTATTTAAATACTAATGCTGTACCATTACTACTTAAACATACATACATACACACACACACACACACATATGTATACCGTGACAATATTTTGCAGTACAATTAAGACTTAAGGGGATCGTGTGTCACACCAGTGTACCATAGCAAGGTGGTGGAGAATCACTGTTAGAGGTACCAATACATGTGTGTGTTAAAATGACATATAAAATAACCAATCAAAATCAAATATATGATAAATGGTTGGGTGTTTAAATTTGTTTATTATTTTGTTGACAAAGTTTCATTTATTAAAGACATCATCAGAAAACTGAAAAATTAAGGAAAAAAACAAAAAACGTTACCATGACAAATTATAGCAATTTCTAAATTAATGAATTTATTTTTAATCTGACATTTTCATGAGGCATCTATTTCAAGTACGAATATCCACTATAATAATGTTTGATGTAATAAAAGTATATAAAAACACAGATATAAATAAAAATTAAAAGATATCTGTAAAAAGGCAATATAAATAAACACAGGATGAAAAACTATTCTTTTTTGATGTGTTTTGTCCTCTGGTGGTTTTTATTAAGACATTTTCCCTGATGAAGTCTATGTGAGGTCGAAACGTGTCAGTAAAGAATATTTAGATCTTTTCTGTTAATTCACCCCAAATAATGTAAAGTTACTTAAATCAAGGTTAATTGTTTTTTTTTTATTAAATTTTTGGCACTCTTAAATCAAAATTTGTTTAGCTTGCCTTGAAACAACTCCAACTCTCAAATTGAAAAATTACCAAAAATCAGGGAGTTCTTCACATTTCGTAAGTGCAGATGATATTTGAGGTACTTAGAAGGAACTCTTTGCAAATTAAAAGAAAAAAAGGATAAAAAAATCTGTTGTTGGCTTGTTTGATCAGTGTGTGTGCGAATGTAGACCCCACACTTAGAAGTAGTGCACCCGAGTTGCCCATATTTGGGGTGATCGCAGAGGTCAACCCAATCGGAGTGCAGAGGAAAGGCTTTGCTCTGGGAGAATTTGGTGTGAATTTTAGTAAATATAATATTCTTTTTTGGGGATGAATTAAGATTTTGGGGTGAATTAACAAAAAAGATCTAAATAATTTTTTTTCCTTTTGTCTTTATTCATATAGCTATATGAGAGAGTGCTCTCTATTGGAAGTAGAGCGTTTAGTTAGGATATAGACAAGTGTAGACATAGATATCAACACTGAATAGTGACTACTGAAGCGATTTCCTGACCATTTGCCCGAAGACTGCTTGAAGCGTGAATTTTATTTCACAAGAATAAAATATCTATATTTATTTTTAGTGAGACAAAATATGACGACTGTCGACTTCTCAAGCTATATTCAGACCGTGTCTGAAAATCACTTCAGGCATGAAAATGACTGCACTCACCCCATACAATGTGGATTTCTATTTCAACTGAATGTGTGTGTGGGGTGGTGCATAGATTGAATTTCGCAACAAAAAAAGAATTAATGAAAACAAACAATAAATCTATTTCTGAAAGATAACATTTTTAAGGCAAGCAGATATTTTCAAATTAAAAGGCTAAATATCAAGAGGTTGGAGCATTAATCGTAACAAATAAAATTAAATGTTCACTTATCGTATCTAACTTTCACAAGAAATTACAATCCACTCATCAGGAGAGTTGATTGTATAATTTTCCCCATAAAGAGTAGATATAATTTCCATGAAAAAAAAAATGTTACCATAACAACTTATAGCAATTTCTAAATTAAATTAATGGATTTATTTTTAATCTGACATTTTCATGGGGCATCTATTTCAAATATACGAATATCCACTATAATAACATAAAGTATATAAAAATACAGATATAAATAAGAATTTTGTCCTTTGGTGGATTTCATCAAGACATTTTCCCTGATGAAGTCCATGTGAGGTCGAAACAAGGTTGCTAAAGAATATTTAGATCTTTTCTGTTAATTCACCCCATATAATGTAAAGGTACTTATTGCAAAGTAGTGACAAGTGAACATTAATGATCACTTATAGGATATATTCTAGCAGGAAATATAATAACAAGGGTTTTTTTTTTTTTCCCGATTTTCGAATAAGGTGTCCTCTTGGGTATTGTGTTTCAAATTGTGAATAAACTATCCATAGCTCATATTGTGTCTTTTTTTTTTTGTTTTTTTTTTTTTTGTTCAAGTACTTTTGACTTTCACAGTCATTATCAAGAACCGATGTGGTTGTTGTGTGGGAGTTGGAATTCCTTTGTCTGCATCAAAGAACACCAGGATGCAGACAAAGGAATTCTAACTCCCACACAGCAACCACATCAGTTCTTGATAATGAATGTGAAAACCAAAAGAACTTGAAAAAAAATAACAAAATATGAAGTTTAGACAGTTTATCCACACCTTCAAACACAATATGCAACAGTCAACACCTTGTTAGAAAATTGGAAAAAAAAATACAATATAAAGTTAAATAGTCAGATCTTGTCGATCCTTTTTAAATCAAACTTATTTGGATATGATTTGATAGATATGGTTTTTATTGATTCTGTTTCTACGGCTTATCAACCCTTTGCAGGTTATTTAAAGGCAGAAAATATTTTTTTACATTGTAAGAATTTTTATAGATAGGCTAGTTGTGTATCTGGCTAGATAGATAGGCGTGTGTGTGTAAATTGGAAATCAAATTTTCTTTTATGCAGGTTTCATTTTAAATGACGGACAAGGAATATCTTGAATATATAAAAAATTTTCTTGTGTCCTTATAAGGTTTCTTTTTTAAGGACTGCTGAGTGTGTATGACTTTCCCTGCATGCTTTCAGCTAATATATATATATTTTTATTTATTTATTTATTTTTATTTTTTTTTTTTTTTTAGACATTTTCAAAGATGGAGAATAATTTTTCCGGTAACAAAGAATAATACATCTTGTTTTCTTTACTGAGTTGTGTGAGAAACATTTTTGTAGCAATAATTTCATTTTTTGGTGGAGGTTTGCTTAGTTTCCGAATATGGTCAAAACACTCTGGCCGTGTTCGTGTTTATGCAACGGACCAACTTCTTGACTACACTGCATTGGACATGAAATAAAAACAATCTTACTTTCCATTTTACCAACAGTTTTCTTGTAATTCGTAAATTAAGAGATAGGACTAGGAGGAATAAAATAAAACGCAAAGTTTTTTTTCCTTTGTTCCTATTTCTCCTTTAATTTCACGCTTTTTCCCCCACCCCCACAAAATATATCAACAGCTCGCCTTCAGAGCATGACTTGTGCTCCCAGAATAATATACACGCTTTCAGGAGTCACACAAAAATAAAATTATATATTTGTTCTAAGATATTTATAAGGAAGAAGAAGGATATTCATTTATCAGGATATGTTTAGTTTGCAGGTAAACAATGTGGACATAGAAATTCACACAGTTTAAAAGTGACTGGCACATTCAAGCCTTAAGCAAGCAATTGCCACAATAATCAATCGATATGTGTATATAACTGGCGTGTGCTTGTGCACATGTCTTAGGATCGACGATCTACTGAGAAATTTATTAACTACCAGTTCCCAAAGCCAAGAAAGTGTCGTTAAAAAAACATGTTTGGTTTTACTTTTTTGGAGCTGAATTTTCTGCTTTTAACATTTACAGATTCATTGATGATAAAATCAAACCATAAATAAATAATGAATTTTTTTAGTAACATGACTTTCACTCTCTTCATCTATCTATCTATCTATCTATCTATCTCAGTATATCTCTATCGCAGTCTTCATCTATCTATCTATCTATCTCAGTATATCTCTATCGCAGTCTTCATCTAAATCTCTATCGCAGTTTTCATCTATCTATCTCAGTATGCTCATCTATCTATCTATCTAAGTATATCTCTATCGCAGTCTTCATCTATCTATCTATCTATCTCTATCGCAGTCTTCATCTATCTATCTATCTATCTCTATCGCAGTCTTCATCTATCTCAGTATGCTCATCTATCTATATCTCTATCGCAGTCTTCATCTATCTATCTATCTAAGTCTGTTCATCGATCTAAGTACAAACCTTTCAACTACCTCTCACTAACCTTTAGTTTATGAGGGACATTGTCGTCTCTCGGAGTCGGAGTCATATATTGTTTTTAAAATAGTCTCCCCACACATACTACTTTTTTTTTAATTCATGATCTTGTGTCAGTTTTAAATCTCTAAACTTTATATTTACCTCCCCCCTGACACACACACACGCGCGCACACACACACACACACACACACATTGACACGGCATACATACATACATACATACATACATACATAAAGCTAAGCAGCTACACACACACACACACAAAGTCGGGAAAAGAGAGAAAGAAATGTATTTTTGTTTTTAACTGCATTTTCTATTCTTACCAACGTAAGAAGAGGAAATGGAGAAACTAGAAAAACAGAATTAAAAAAAAAAAAAAATCTTAATAAAAAAGTAAGTGAAACGAATCGTGGGAAAATAAAATTACTTACCACTCATGGTTACTTATATATACGATGTCGTTTGGATGTTGGGGTCTGCAGAATTTTCTGAAGTGTTATTTCTTCCGAGTGCTTTTTTATGTAAGTCAAAGAACTGACGCCGTCCAAGCAGTCAAGAAATCCTGTTGAAGACTGATTGCTGCTTGCTTTCTCTTCAGACAAAATGCCCCGCCGTCTCTCTTACTATAGTCAGAGTGGGTACCAAATAGTGTGGGAGAGAAGGTTGCTTAAAGAGTGAGAAAGAGTAGGTGGGGGAAAAGAAAAAAGGCAGAAAGGCAATTAGTGGCAGTCGGGGTTGGGTGAAGTTTAGGGGGGGGGAGACAAAAAAACCCAAAGAGATAGAGAGAGGAATTGAAGGGGAGAACGATTTCAATTTGTCATGCTCTTCCTGGTGAAAATGTTTAGATAAGCGTATCGGGCGCCTCCTATAGAGCGAGGGTTCGCAAGTGACTAAAAAAATTATTTTTCTCTATTATTGTGGCCTTGTGCCAGACTTAGCAATAAGTAGATATCTATCTACAAGGCGCTTATCTCTCAAAATACTGTTAATAATGCCTGCTTCATTATAGACTTGTTTTTTTTTCGTTTCTTTTTTTAATTTTAAAAAAAATTAAAAAATCAGTTTTTTTTTTTTTACTTTAAAAAAATAATTGCTGTTAGTTTTTTTTTTTACATTTACAACTTTGTATTATAAAAATAGGTGTGTAATACATATCATGTGTAAATGTGTGTACACATTTACACATGATTGTGTTTTAGTTTTACCAGCTATTTCATCTGCTATGGTCATTTTGAAAATTCCGTTTTTCAAGCGTTATTTTCTGCGTTTAAAACACGTAAACAAAACTCGAAAAAAAAAATTACTTTTTTTTTAGTGGATGTGTGGAAGGTGCGACCCGAGTTCGAATCTCGTCGCGATCGTTGCATTCACTTTCGCACAAATACGCTTGGAAACGGCGTGGACACATCTCTCCCCTCCACCTTGGGTTTAAAGCAGAGCAGACTGGACCCCCTAGCCGTGATTGGCAACCAATATATCAGGGCAACTGAATTCGAAACCATATATATCCCTGCCTTTCTACGCCAGTTCTCATTGGATCATTAAAGTTAAGCAATGTCGAACCTAGGTAGTATCTAGATGGGTGACCGCTTGGGAATACCAGGTGCTGTAAGCTTGAATGTGTGGGTGGTGTAATGAGCTTATGGTCACATCACGTTGAAACACCAGTTTCCAATCTTGTTGCGTTTATTATATCCATTTTGGCACAAATACCCTTGGAAAATGTATGAATCCACCTCTTCTTCCTCCAGCTATAGGTTAATTAGTAAGACTTGTATCTATAAATCATTAATATCTTCAAAAATTCTTACACTAAAAATACATTTTTAGCTTTAAATAACATGGAAAGGGTTGATAAGTTGTAGAAAACAAATTCAATCAATGAAAATGAAATATACTGATTAGCTACAGACACATGTCTTTTAGATTTAATTAATTTTGGGAAGATAAATGTATAAAAACTACCTTGGTCACAAAGTGAGGGATCATTTTATATATTGATTGTAATGTAAAATTGATCCCCCACTTTATATCAAGATTATAATTTCTTGTTTGATGACAAGCCGTAGAAAATGAACCAATCAGTCAATGAAATACTGATTAGCTACACAAGCATGTCTTTTAGATTTATTTACAATCTCTGGTATATGAATGTATAGAAAACTACCGTGGCTACAAAGTGAGGGATCACTTTATACATTGATTGTAATGTAGAAGTGAGGGATCAGTTTATATATTGATTGTAATGTAGAATTTATTTCCTACTTTATATCCACATTATAATTTCTTGCTTGTTTGTCAAATTCTGATTAGGTACGAATCCATCTCTTCTCCCCCCAGCTGTGGGTTAATTAGTAAGACTTGTATCACTAAACTATTATCTCCCCCAAATTCTTTAAATGTAAAAATGTTCTCTGGCTTTAACCTGCAAAAGGTTGATAAGCCATGAAAAAACAATCAGAAAAAAAAACAACCCTGGCTGGATACATATTCAAACTGTAACAAAGATCTGCTTAACATATTTGGAGTATAAACTTACTGGTTGGCGATTGTGAGTGTTGAAGAAACACTGAGCATAAGTAGATGGACGTACTCGGAAACAAACAGCAATGGTGAAGATGTGACATCACATGGAGTTGAAATTGCCTTCGTGTTGAAACAACTATGATGACTTATTTTTGACTTCCCCATGCTACACACATATTTCAACCCTCACTGGGTGCCCCATTATTATAACCTTGTATCAAACTAAGCAATGCTTAAATATCTGGAAAAATTTTCTTATTTTTAACCCATCCTGGGTATGACAATAAACTACATTTGCATCCAGGGTTAGATGATAAACTACATCCAACAGCAAGGCCTTTGATCAGGAGGTTTTGAGGAGCATGGAACCACCTCTTAATTGCTGGTGTTTCCAGGTCCACCCTGACCTAGGGTGGTAGCACCTGTTAGGGTCCCAGCTATAGGCAAATAGTAAACCCCAAAACTGAGGTAAAAAGCATTATAAAAGTATAAAAAAAGTTTTTAATACCAGAAATACTTTGTAAAAAAAGCTATTACCAGAAATAAATTTTTGAAGAAAAAAGCTATTACCAGAAATAAATTTTTGAAGAAAAAAGCTATTACCAGAAATAAATTTTTGAAGAAAAAAGCTATTACCAGAAATAAATTTTTGAAGAAAAAGCTATTACCAGAAATAAATTTTTGAAGAAAAAAGCCATTACCAGAAATAAATTTTTGAAGAAAAAAGCCATTACCAGAAATAAATTTTTGAAGAAAAAAGCTATTACCAGAAATAAATTTTTGAAGAAAAAAGCTATTACCAGAAATAAATTTTTGAAGAAAAAAGCTATTACCAGAAATATATTTTTGAAAAAAAAATTTTACCAGCAATATATTTTTGAAAAAAAATTATTACCAGCAATGTGTTTTTTGGGGGAAAAAAAAAAAATTATCAGCAATACGTTTTTGAAAATATCACCAGTTATACATTTTTGAGGAAAAAAATCATTGCCAGAAATAGATTTTTGACAAAACAAAATATTATCAGGAAAAAAAAAAGTTGTCAACATTAAATAACCCATTGAGATTGATATGCCGTAACACGAAACAAACCAAGCTTATTTTTAACAGCTACTAGGATGGACAATTCTGTAAAATTATTATCAAGGACAAATGGAAAAATACGTAAATAGTAATTACCATATATACTAGTGGGTCATGTGACTTTTGAAGACCTAATTTTGAATCTAATTTTAAAGGGGTCACATCATACATGAAATATAAAATTAGCATATATACTGTTGGTCCTAGTTATGCTGTTGACCAAACTATATATTGATTTACTGTAGTCAAATTAGGTCTTCAAAGGTCACATGATACATGAATAGGTATTGTTGGTTGTTTTTTGTTTTTTTTTGTTTAGCACCATATCAAAACCTCAATGGGTTATTTAATGCCAAAATCTAAATATTTTGAACACAATTTTATGCCTTCAACAACAGATAAAATTATTGTTGGTCATTTTAATATACTGTATGTACTTGTGTATCATGTGACTTTTGGAAACCTAATTTTGAGGCTAATTTTAAGGGGGTTACATCATACATGAGATATAAAATTAGCATATATACTGCTAGCCTCTGCCTTTGATCAAATTGTATATCCATTTACTGTAACCAAATTAGCTTCAAAATTAGGTCTTCAAAGGTCACATGATATGCAAATATATATGGTGACTACAAAAAATCCTTATAGATAATCAAAGGTAGGGATGGTAAAAAGTAGGGGATCTGTTTTGTATTGTTTTTTAGTATTAAACTCATCCCCCATTTCTTGGCCATAGTAGATTTATAGATGAATTTCCAAAACATGCTTATAGGTAATCAAATGAAAAGATGATAGAAAGTGAGGGATCAGTTTTGTATTGTTCTTTAGTATTAAACTCATCCCCCATTTCTTAGTCACTGTATATGGTATCCATTTCTGTAATCTATACAGGATATGAATAACTTCTGAAAAATATTTTTATAGGTTGGTTTGTTATGTATACCGTACAATACTCACGTATCATGTGACTTTTGAAGACCTAATTTTGAAGCCAATTTTAAAGGGGTCACATCAAACATGAGATATAAAATTAGCACTGGCTATGGTGTTGATCAAACTCTATATCCATTTACTGTAGACAAATTAACTTCAAAATTAGATCTTCAAAAGTTGCATGATACGCGAGTATATATGATAATGAAGATAAAAGGAGAAATTGTCCTTTTACAAATATATTTTTAGTTATACCTGAAATTTTACACAGCAATAATACTAATATTTAATTGAAAATGATATCGATTTTATTTTACCTTCCAAATTTGACAAGGACAAACAAAGCTAAATGAAGGACTATCTAATAAATGTTTGTCATTTCAAATTGAGGACATTTGGTAACCCTAGCCACCACTATTTGCATTTCAGTTGTGACAAAATCTGTGTGTAAATAGCATGTTGTATTTGTAGGGATTTGTAACACAGCAACATTAAAATTTCATGAAGTCATTTTTTTTAATCAATAAGTTGATTGTAATTTGTGGTTGCATTTGATACAGGAAGGAAATTTTAGATGGATTTTCACATCTAATCCTAAACAAATGAAACACACACAAGCATTTATCTGTTGATATCTATCTGTTTACTTATCTGTCTGTTTGTCTATCAAGTTAGTCTGACTTAGAAAGCTAGTTATCTATGATAAATAGATACGAACAGACTGAGAGAGATAGATACGAACTAAGAGGGATAGATACAAACAGACTGAGATAGAGAAATACAAACAGACTGAGAGAGATGCTCTGTTCATATCTAAGTCATACTAAATGTATTTTTATGTAGACACAACTCTGTCTTCAAAGTAACTTGTCTTTTCCTGCATCTCTGATAAAACTTAATCACTTCTCCTCCTTGACATTAGTGATAAATGGCTCTTAGAAACCATCAAATAAATCCTTCTCAACAATTTTGCTATTTTTTAAAATAATTCATCTTGTCTGATTTAAAAAAAAAAGAAAAAACAAAAAGATAAAATAATAAATAATTCAGTTTTCATTGAAAATTCAAAAAAATTACCTAAAAAAACCTCCATTCTTAATTTTGTAATATTGGAGGAAAAATTTAATTTTATAGAAAAATGTGCTATATTTACAAGACTGCTAAAATTTACAAAATTTCAATTTCTTCTCAATTAAAATAAAATTCTTAAGAAATATAGAAAATATTTTTTATTGAATTTTGTTTTGGACACATGAAAAAATTTGCCTAAGTCACCAACAAAATAACATTAATGAAAATTCTTTTAGTTTTGTTTTTTGTTTAATTTTTTAAAATAAGCTTTAATATTTTGATATTATAAATATTCTTATTAGTTAAAACTGTTATATTTGTTTTCCAATTCTTTCAAAGACTATACCAAAATTTGATAAGAAAAACTTACCATTCTTACTTAACAAGATCAGTGTCATTGCAAGGGTCTCATGGCTCCCACCCCGAAGCTATGATACGGTCCCCCCACTCTGTTGCATCTCAATTTTCATAAGGTAATGTTCATATAAAATACAAATATTATTCTAACCTAATAATGGATCATATGCAATATAGGTGAAGAATTCAACTAGAAAAATTGAAAATAAATACAATGTATCTATGTACAAATTAGAGACCTGTCATAATAGATCATTCCATCTTAAATAAATCAACAATGTTTTGCGGTAATTTTTAATATCAACTTGAGATTTCTCTTGTTAAAAAATTGAATAATTTTAACACATTCAACATTATGGATAAAAAATAATGAATTTTATATATATATATTTGGTTGGATAGATGTGAGTTTGTGACCCTGGGTTTCACATTTTAGCGATTGTCAGACAAACTTGTCTGAAGATCGCTAAAGCGTGAAACCCAGGGTCACAAATACACATCTGTCCAACCAAATATGTTAGCTCTATCTCAGATATTGAGCGCTTTCTAATAAGTACCATGTATATAATATATAAATAATTATACATATATATATTTATTTATATACACAAACTTTTCACATATATATATATATATATAT